CCTCCAGCCCCTGCCTCTTAGTGCCCCCACTCACCCTCTCCCCACCAGCTGCAAGCAGTCCCCACGGCCCCCTGCTCAGCCTGCAGCTCACCAGGTAGAGGTGCGGGAAGATGCGGGAGGCGCGGTCTTGCTGCGCCATGAGCAGCAGCATCTGGTTGTCGATGAAGTCTCGGTACTGCTGGAGGGGACACCCTAGGCGCAGCTCCAGGGCCTGGCGGATCTGTGGGCAGAGCCCAAGGGGAGGAGAAGCTCAGGCTGCTGCCCAGGCTCCTAACCCCTCCCCACTTCCCACTGGGCCTCTGATGATGGCTCCCTGTCCCATCTACACAGACTGGGGCTGAGGCCAAGGCATCGGGGAATGACTCAGGCCTGGAGGAAGGGCCCCGGCCCCTCGGCCCCATGCCCACCTCTTTGGAAGTGATGCTCTCCAGGTCGCTGGTGTCCAGCACTTCCCACAGCTCAGCCCGGATCGCCTGCTCCATCTGCTCCTGTTCCGAGGGCCTGGGAGCACATCCCTCAGTCAAGGGGCCCTTTCCTCTCCGCCATGGCACCCCCCTGCCTTTTCCTGCCCTCCCTCTCCACCCAGGCCCTCCCCTCCCTGCACTGACCGGCCGGGTTCGGTGCTGGGAGGTCGCAGAGACTCCAGGTCAGCCATGGCCGTCCACTCATTGAGGCAGCTCTGGTCAGAGTTCAGTCTGTCCTGGTAGTAGCTGGCCCAGGTGAGGGCACTGCCACCGGGTACAAGGCCACTGCCTAGAGCTGCCTCACATGCCTGGTGTAACACTTGGAGCGTGGCCCTGGGACAGGAGGAGAGGCTGGGTCACCCTGTCCTCCCTGCTGCCCTTACCCAGGCCCTGCAGCCACCTCCAGAGGAGAGTCTCAGCCAGCTCTTACCACATGGTCTGGATGGAGATGGGCTTGAAGATTCGGCTCTGCCCACCAGACGTCACGCTGAAGCCCCTGCAGGAGACCAGGTCAGGTGGAACCACCCCCCAGGCTCTGGGACAGGCAGCCTGCCCATTTGCCAGATGTGGGAGGTCCAGGCCCAGAGAAGTTAGGTGACTTGCCCAGGACCACACAGCGAATCTGAGGTGGAGCTGAGAGCAGGCCCCAGGCCCCAGACTCCCAGCCTAGAATTGTGTCCCTAGTGCCTAGCCCCTGAGTCACATCTGTCACACTTGCCATTCCACCCTCCTGGCCCCTCCTCTCCCCCGCCCCTCTCCAGTTGCCATTTCTTACCCATCTCCATCTAAGTACACCTGGGTATCACTCCAGAGGGGCAAGACCAGGCCCAGGGTACAGCTGGGGGAGCTAGCAGGGGACAAAAGGAAAGCCATTGTCCCCCAGCACCTCAATTCCTTGCCCCCTCCCTACCTCCCCCTGCTCCCACCTGCTGTCAGGGAAGTCCACCCCCAGGAGGACCGTCTCATCCTGGCTCAGGTGCTCTCGTGTGGAAACTACCAGCAGGTAGCGGAGCCGGGGTGGCCGAGCTGCCTCCAACTGGGCTGCCTGGGGAAGATGTGCCCAGAGTCACAGTGGCCCAAGGACCTTGCTCCCCCCACTCCACCTGGACACCCCAGGCCCAGCACAGCCCTGCCCCTGCTCCCTCCATTCCCACCCCCTCTTTCCAGATCCAGGATCAGTGGTACACTCCCATGCTTCCCAACTTTTGGATTCGTGGTCCAACAAAATATTCAAAAAGATCTTTCTTAAAAGGGGGGCATGGAACTGACATAGGTTGCCTATCTTTTGTTTTTGCCTAGGAAGGAGGGTCTTTTAAAAATTCCACCACTTGCCATGGCCATCATTTCACTCAAATGTGTATCACCAAAGAAATATTGAGGACATAATCTCACAGCAAAGTTTGGTACTTCTGTTATAGATTCAGCTTTACGGAAGACTCGCTTCGTCTTGTTCTTCCCCTCTGGCCACAGTCAGCTCTCTCCACGGCATTTGGGAAGCGGTCCTCGGGCTCCCACCCGGACTCCCATCCTACGTGGATGCTGGAGTCCTCCCTCCCTCTGCCTTGGCCCCCAGTGGGTGCTCAGCAAGCCCTGCCTGTGCTCTGGTCCACTTAGGGACAACTCACATTATCAGAAAAGTCCTGCTGGTTGAACAGAAACCTACCTCCGTGTAATTCCCAACCCTTGGACCTAACTGGGCTCTACTGACTCACACAGGACAAACCTTCCCTGTTCTCTCACGGCCCTCCAGAGACCTGCAGACATGACTTGGTCCTGTCAAAACATCTCTGCCTGAAACTGCAGGGTCATCAGGGTTTGGGTGACCCGTACACTCCTCAGGGTGCCTGCCCTCACACCATTCATTGGTCCCCAAACAGACACGCATGCTGGCTCCATTCCACCCTCTCCCCCACCCTCTCAGGGGCCGCTCCCCTCTCGGAGAGCTCTGGATGGGACCCCTCACCAGGAGGATGTCGTCCTGCGGCCTCAGCAACTCCACCATGAGATGCAGGTGCTGCCTCTGCTCCTGCTTCTGGGGACTCTGGGGCCCTTGCCCGTAGTCTGTCTGGTCCCCGTGGGGCTGCTCCTCACCCAGGGGTTCCTCTGCTGGCTCAGGGCTGGCCTCAGCTGCATCACCATCGTCCCCTCCGTCTTGCAGTCCCAGGACAGCCCCACGGAGCACCGCAAAGCTCTGCCTGGCAGGGCGGTGGGGAAACCGTTATGCCCCTCGCACCCCTTAGGGTGCGGGTTCTCAAACCTAAGTGGCATCACCTGGAGGGCCTGTTGAAGTAGACTGTCGGGCCCCATCCCCAGAGTCAGGAGGTCCGGAGTGGAGGTCTGAGACTGCATTTCTAACCAGTTCTCTGGCGATGCTGCCAGAGCTCTGGGAAGCAGCCTGGGGGCCTCCAAGCCACAGCCCCTCTATTCTTGCTAGTCTGAGGGGGCTGGGAGTGCTCCCTTTCCCTTCCCACCTGCCTAACTCAGGAGATGCCGTAAACTTGGTTAGGGACCCAGGCGTCCTCAGGCCCTGTCATCCCATCCTGCCCTTTGGCTTGTGACCACTGGCCTGAGCTAGGGTCCAGGGAAGTGGGTGAAGGAGCCCCAAGTGACTGGGGGGAGGGCAAAAGCAAAGGCAGTCAGGCCGGCCCTGCTGCCACAAGCTGAACCCAGCAGCTGGGCCCACCCGGAGCATCGCCCCACAGATTCAGTAGGGAGCCTTCTGTCCTCAACACCTGGAGTTCAGAATGGCAGTGGCCAGGCCTGGGGGGCTGCATGGGGTGTCTGTGCTGGGGAGGAAGGTGCTCACCTGCGCTGGAGTCGATTTCTCCGCTTGACCACCTGCTCCTGCTGAGAAAGCAGCCCCCAGGGAGAGTGAGAGCAAGGACTCTCCTCTCTTCTCTCAGGGGGGCTGGGTGGGGGCCCTGGGGATGACCTTGCCCTCCATCCGGAGAGAGGGGCCAGAAAAGGTGTCAGATGCCAATCCTCTTCCCGCTGCTCCCCACCGGGAGGCACTGGGGGAGCCCCGGCCCAAGCCCAGGTGTGGGGGGGCTGGGAGGGTGCCGGGGGTGGCGGAAGGGTTAGCCCAGATTTGGGCCTCCGCAGACTTGGGCTGGCTCGCAGGGCTCCAGATCTTGCCTTGGTCCGAGTTCCTGAGAACCTCAAAAACTCCCCAACCCCCTCGCCCCCACCCTGAGACTTGAGTCCCCCTTCGCACAGCCCAGGCTTGAGCGGAGTCTGCCGGCGGGCAGGACGTGCTCCCCCAGGCCCAGCGGGCAGCCAACTGCGTGGGCAGGACCACAGCAAAGCCAGACTCACCGTGGGCCCCACAGGCGTGGAGTGGCCGCTGGCCGGAGGCGAGCGGCTCACTGTGACCAGGGCCATGGGGCCAGGCCGGGGACACCTGGGCGGGCACAGGGCACGGCCCCCTGCCACAGCCCCACGGACAGTCCGGCCCCGCAGGACCAGGAAGGAGAGCGGAGCTACCAGGGCCTGGCACCTCCTCGGGGGCGGCCCTTAAAGGGCCAGGCACCCACCCAGCGGGGCCGGTGGAGCCGGCACGCAGCGGACGGCCCCGCCCCTCGGGGCTCCGCGGTTCGGCCCGCCCCGCCCCGCCCCCCAAGCGCTGGGGGCAAGGCCGGGGGCGGGGCGCAGGTGCTGAGCCCAGACACCCGAACGGCCCCCGGCGTTCATTCCTGGGCTGGTCCTTCCTCCCGGCTCCTTCTTCCCCGCCCCGCCCCGCCCAGGTAGATCACCTGAACTGTTGGGGCCTTGACCGTTCTGTTGCCCGGCAGAGGTGGGCCGGAGGGAGGCAGGAGCTGGGGACACAAGTCTTAGACAGGATCAGCCACAGCGGGTCTTAAGTCAGGGGCCCTCACCCCTAACTTATTTCTCCTTGCTGGTTGGCCTCATGCTTCCACCGTCTGCATGAACCACTGGGAGACACGCAGAGCTTCAGGGAAAACCGGGCCGGGATTTAGAAATAACCAATGAAGCTCACAAGGGATTCTCAGGTCCACCTTGGGAGTGAGCAGGGCAGGGGTGAGCCTGATTCACAGCTGCAGCAGAGGGAAGTGACTCGCCCAAAGTCACTCTGATAGAACATGCTGGAGTCAGGGCAGGGGCCACAGGGGGTTAGGGGTTCTTCCCAGCTGGCTGTGCGTAGGGTCGGGTGGGAGGCCCGGCATTTCCCCCTCCCCGACGGGAGCATGGGCCAGGTTCCAGGAAGGCCAGCTGGGATGGCAGGATGAACCTGGGTCTCCAGTCGGTGGGACAAGGCTCGGGGAGGAGCCCTTGACGTCCATGGAGCATCCGCTCAGGTGAGGGAACCTGACTTGAGTTGGCTCCTTTCACCCTCCCAACCACCCTGGGGGTACGGGTCGTCTCCTGCTTTTACACCTGAAGAAATTAAGGCTCTGAGAGGCTCAGGGGGCACAGCCAGGATCCAAACCCGGGTCTGAGGCCGTTGCCCATGGAGTCTCCCCTTAGCGCCCCACTGGAAAGCGCACCGCGGCTCCAGCCCACCGAGCAGAGAAAGCCTGCTGCTGACCGTGTCTTTATTTCCATCTTGTCTCCACTGCAAGCGCACACACGGGGCTCCAGGCCCCAGCTCGGCAGCAGTCAGTTTATAAATAAATAAATTACAAAAGCGGGTGGAGGGAGCGGCCCTGGACAGCCCTCCTGGGGGCCAGGCGGCTCAGTGTTCTGTGAGTGACAGCTGCAGGATCCGCTGTAAGTCTTCCTCCTCCTGCTGCCCCCGCCGCTCCTGCTCTTCCTGCTCCCGCGAGGACAACTCCAAGGCCAGGCGAAGCTGCTCCTCAAAGCTTGGGGGGGCAGGGGGCGGGGGGGTCCCGTGAGGGGCTCCCAGGCCCCCAGGCTCCGTGGACAGCCGCAGGCTTTCCTGGAGGGCCCTTGCAGGCAAGGCATGAGAGGGGAGAGCAGACCAGTGAGCGCTAAGACTGGGGGCAGAAGCCAAGGGGCTGGGGACGTGGCTTTGGAGGACAAAGACAGGGTGGCAGGGAGAAGAGATGAGGCAGGGCCCTGTCCCTGGTCCCTCATGCCACTTTTAGTGGCATCCAGCACTGTTGATGGAGGTGGAGTGGGCATGGGGTCCTGGGCCCAGCACCTGCATACTACCCACCCCCACCCTCCAGCCAGGGCTGGCTGGGTGCTCAAGGCAGGGAGCAGCTGCGACAGGGACCCAGTAGGTCCTTCGAGGGCCTCACCGCTCCAGCTGAAGCTGCTCCTCATAAACCATGGCTTGGGGAGGCGGGTGGGCACCGGGCCGGGTGTTGGTCAGGGCTTCCCAGACAGTCACCTACAATAGCCAGAGTGCAGAGCAGTCACCTTTGCCCAGTGGCTGCAGGGGCTAGGGCCCACCCCTGCCCGAGTCCCACCTGCTCTGCCTCTGTGCCTGCCTCGAGCAGGCTCTGCTGGATGGCAAATTGCAGCAGGTCATCGTCCTCATCTCGAAGGGGCTCGCTGCGCTCTGTGCCCAGCACGCTGTACCCTTCGGGCACCTCAAACACGATGGGGTCCACCTCACATGGGAAAGGGCTCCCTAGGCAGATGGCAAAGGGGCCACGCTTAACCCCAGAGCTCCGCGACCAGACAGCCACGCAGCCTCCCTCTGCCTCCCTTAGGGGTACCTGAAGCTAGGACGGCAGAGCTGGGGGCTGGCACCCGCACGGAGCTCAGAGGCTCGTCACAGCCACACAGGTTGCTGAAGGTGATGCGGGCATTGAGCACGTGGAAAAGGGGAATCTCTGTGAGGACACAGAGGAGACAGCTAAGCCTGAACTGCCCCGATGGAGACCCCTGCACCTGCCCCCCTGCAGCGCTGTGTCCGCCCCTCTCCCTGGGGGCTGTGCTAAGAGGAGGCCACCGTGCCCAAAGTTCTCCACTGCCCGGGCCCCACTCTCTCACCAATCTTGACAGGGAAGCCGGGTGGGAGGCGCAGGGTGATGAAGTCGCGCAGCTTGGCAAAATGGGCATTGCTGATGGCCATCAGGTCAATAATGGGCATCACCTGGTCACCCAGCGAGAGCGGGTGCTGCTCACTCAGCCACAGTGTTGCCTTGAACCTGCCCGGCCAACCACAGGGCGTGGGTCAAGGAACTGCGGGTGGCCCTCCCACTAAGGCCTGCCCTCTCTGGCTCTCTGCTCACCTGCCTTTACGCATCCCTCCCACCTGCCTGGGGCACCCTCCTCTGCTCAGCAGCCCCCGCCTGCCTCCCCCAAGAGCCGGTGTCCTGTCCCTACAGACCCAAGCTGTCCCCGGACCCTGGGCCCAGACTGGAGTTCATTATGGTTTTGTGTCAGCTCATCCGGTCTGGATGAGGAGGGCAGGGGCCAGGCTGTGGGCTTCTCTCTGGGCCTGGTCCACAGACCGTCCTCCTCCTCAGCCCAGAGCCGGACACCACCTCACGTGTTGCCGGACTTTTGTGTCCAGCACAGTCCAGGGCAGGGCTGCTAGGGTTTGAATCCCAGCCCCACCACTGGGTGGCTGAGAGAATCCCCGTGAGGTGGCCAGGGAGCGTGGGGCCTGTCGCAGGCCTCCGTGCGCTGTTACCACTCACGCCGCTCGTCAGGGCCTCGTGAGGCAGACGGGCAAGCGGGACTGTTCTTGTTTCACAGAGGAGGAAACCAGACCCTCAGGGGGAAGACGTGTCTTCGGGCCACACAGCAGGAGGCAGCTGTGGGCCTGTCCCATGGGCCCTCCCCAATTTGCCACATGCTGGCCCCCAGCAGCTGCTCATTAAATTCAATAGAAAACCACACGTGGGTGGTGCCACCCACTCATTCATTCATCAGACACTTGTGGCCAGCTCTGGGGGCCAAGCCCCTGCCGGGTGCTGAGGACCAGGGATGAGACAGACGTGGCTCCTGTCCTCAGGGAGGAGGGTCCGGGGAGCAGCCAGCTGAGTGAGCAGGTCCCTCACTACGACGGGCCCGGTGTGTGACACGAGTTGACGAGGGCCCAGGGGGTCCAGGCAGGGTCCCGGTCCCTGAGGCAAGCCCCCAGCCAGCCCCCTCACCTCTGTACTTTGCTGGACATCTCAATGGGGCGGCCAATGTTCCTCGACTCCAGGCTGAAGTTGGGGTCAAAGTATTCGTCAGGGGAGATGGCTGTGGGGTTGGTGGGGCTGGCTGCCTGCTGCACAGGGGCCTGGGTGGGCCCCAGGACCAGACTTAGCACTCAGGACAGACGGACGGCACCCCGCCCCCCAGGCTGGCCCCGCGGGCCCCGCCCCAGCCCCGCTCACCCCGCCGTGGGAGGAGTGCTGCTGGGCCATCCCCAGGAAGGACTGCAGCGGAGTCTTCCCACCTAGGAGAAGGGCGGAGCCCATGAGGGCATGTGGGGCCACTGCCCCCAGACTGCTCCACTGGCCCTCTGCCCCTGGAAGCTCCCATGACATGGGAGAGGGGACAGATGGGAAGGGTGAGCCCTCCCAGCTTGTCCTGGGAATCTCTGGCCCCTGACCCCAGACCAGGGCGACCCCACCACACAGTGTGACTGGGCAGCAGGCAGGCGCACCTGGGTTTACCTTTGCTCCTCGACTTGTCCTGATCAGAGAGGTGCTCCGTGCGCGTGCGTGTCACCAGCTCCACGTTGGTGGCACTGTACACCTGGGGGGGGTGGGGACATGGGGAGCTGGGGGCTCAGAGCCTGTTCCCCACGCTCAGCCTGACCAGCACAGGACCCAACTCCTGCTGTCCCCAGAGACAGATGAGATCTTGCTCCCCATGATGGAGGAGGTGGCAGGGTCTGAACCCCAGGGAGTCACCAGTAAGGAGATTCAACCCCAGGGTCAAGAGCAAAATGCTCCTCATTTGATCTGGGTTCCCTGGGTGGGGCTGTACTGCGGGTGGTCCCCATACACTCAGCAGGGGCTGGGTACTTGGGCTATCGATTCCCCCAGGGGTCAGGGTTTCCAGGGCCCAAGGGTCACTCTGTCTCTCCCTCCGTACTCTGGGGTGGATGTGGAGAAGGAGCTGAGTTCCTGGGCCTCATCTCCTGCCCCCAGCCCCCCACCACTAGCCTCTCCTGCCTTGGCCTCGTAGCCGCTAACAGTTTCCATCTTCTCAGACCGCCATCCCCAGATACCACATTTGTTCCTGAAACAGACCAAACAGGCGCTTGTGAGGACCTGCATCCCCCCCACCCTGGCCAAAGCTTTCCCTTCCAAAGCCTCCCTCTCCGACAAGCCTGCCCTGGCTGCCCAGCCCCTGGGGGACCTTCCCACTGTGAAACACGAAGGGGCCTAGAAGAAGGTGCCTGGACAGCTGGGGACATTTGAACAGGACTGGGGACTAGAAGATATTGAGGAATTTCTATTGATTTTGTTAGGTGTGGTAACAGTGGTGGGGCTGGGTTAAAAAACATCCTTATCTTTTAGAGTCATGCACAGAAGCATTTACTGTTAAAATAATATGACATCTGGGATGTGCTTTAAAATACTCTGGGGGAAAAAAAAGAAAAGAAAAAAGTGAGGAAGGATAGATTCAATAAGATTGGTAAAATGTTCATAAATTTTAAAACTGGGAGATGAGTAAGTACATTATCTCTCCTTCATATGTGTTTAAAATTTTCCATCAGAAGAAGTTTAAAAGTATGTCTGATTTGACAATAATAGGTGGAGACTTCAATATCCCACTTTCAATAACGGATAGAACAAGGAGATGGAAGATTAACAAAGAAACAGAAATTATGAACAGTATTATAAGCTAACTAGACTTTATAGACATTTCTAGAACTCTCTGCCCAACAACAGAACACGCATTCTTCTCAAGCGCACACGGAACATTCTTCAGGATAGACTATATACTAGGCCATAAAAGAAACCTTGATAAAATTGAAATGATAGAAGTCATGAAAAGTATGTTTTCCAACTACCATGGAATAAAATTAGAAATCAACAACAAAAAACATTTCGGAAACTCACAAATATGTAGAAAGTAAACAACATACTCCTAAATAACCAATGGCTCAAAGAATAAATTAAAAGAGAAATCACAAAATGCTTTGAGATGAATAAAACTGACACGACATATCAAAACTTATTAGACATAGCTAAAGACATGTTTAGAAGTGTAAATGTAATATAGGTGTAAATATCTATTTTAAGAAAGATGAGGAACCATAAAAAGTTGTGAAAAAAAAGAAAAATAAGTAAATAGAAAAAAGATTGCATATCAATAACCTCACCTTTCATGTTAAAACACTAGAAAAAGAGCAAACTAAATCCATAACAAGCACAAAGAAAGAAATAATAAATATCAGAGTGAAAGTTAATGAATTTAGAGAACAGAAAAACAATAGAGAAAAACAATGAAACCAAAAGCTGGTTCTTTGAAAACATCGACCAAATTGACAAACTTTAACTAGTCTGACCAAGGAAAAAAAAGAAGACTCAAATTAGAAGAATCATAAATGAAAGCAGGGGGCGTTACCACTAACCTTACAGAAATAAAAAGGATTACAAAGGAATATGATGAATAACTATACTCCAACAAATTTGACAGTTTAGATAAAATGGACAAATTCCTAGTGAGGCACAACCTACCAAAACTAACTTAAGAAGAAATAGATAATCTGAATAGACTTATAATAAGTGAAGAGATTGATTGGTTAAAAAAAAAGGCTGGGTGCAGTGGCTCACGCTTGTAATTCCAGCACTTTGGGAGGCTGAGGCAGGAGGATCACTTGAGGCCAAGAGTTTGAGACCAGCCTGGGCAACATAGCAACTACAAAAAAGTAGAAAAATTAGCTGGACATGGTGGCACATACCTGTAGTCCTAGCTACTTAGGAGGCTGAGGCAGGAAGGATAGTTTGGGCCCAGGAGTTTGAGGCTGCAGGGAGCTATGATCAGGCCACTGCACTCCAGCCTGGGTGACAGAGTGAGACCCTATATCTAAAAAAAAACCCAAACAAACAAACAAATCCTCCCAAAATAAAAACTACCCACAAAAAAAGGCCTAGGCCCAAATGGCTTCACCACTGAATCCTACCAATCATTTAAAGAACTAATACCAATAAGAATAATTCACAAATGCGTCCAAAAAATAGACTAAGAGATGACACTTCCCAACTCTTTTTTTTTTTTTTTTTTTTTTTTTGCTGGCAAATGAGGAGGTTGGTAGACTCCTGTCTTAAAGTACCATCCTCTCTTCCCAACTCATTCTATGAGGCATCACTCAGATATCAAAACCAGACAAAGACACCAGAAGAAAAGAAAACTAAAGACCAATATTGTTTATGAATATGAACACAAAATCCTCAACAAAATACTAACTAACTGAATCCAGTAACATATGAAAAGAATTATACACCATGACCAAGTGGAATTTATCCCGGGAAGACAAGGTTGGTTCAATACCAAAAATCAATTAATGTAATCATAATATCAATAGAAGTCTTTAAAAATCACATAATCCTATCAATAGACACAGATAAGGCATTTGACAAAACCCAACACCCTTTCATGATAAAAACACTTAACAAACTAGAACTTCCGCAACCTGATAAGGCGTATCTACCAAAGCCCCACAACTAACATCAGACGTAATGGTGAGATTGAATGCTTTCTCCCTAAGATCAGGAACAAGACAAGGATTTCCACTCTCACCACTTCTATTCAACCTTATACTGGAGGTTCTAGTTAGAGCAATGAGGCAAGAAGAAGAAATGAAAGACATCTAGATTGGAAAAGAAGAAGTAAAACTATCTCTATTTACATGTTTAAAATTACTAAGGAATCCACTAACAATTTATTCAAAATAAAAAAGGAGTTCAGTAATGTTGTAGGACACATGATCAATATATAAAAATAAATTATATTTTTATACATTTCTAATGAAAAATATAAAAAATGAAATTAAGAAAATAATCTGATTCATAATAGCATCAAAAGAATAAAACACTTAGGAATAAATTCAATAAAAGTAGTATAAAACCTATCCTCTGAAAACTATAAAATATTGTTGAAAGAAATGGAAGAAGATCTAAGTAAATGAAAAAACATCCCATGTTCATGGATTGTCTTCCAATGTTTGGGCAGTACTCCCCAAACTGGTTTACAGATTCAGTGCAATCCCATCTGACTTCTTTGTAGGAATGGACAAATTGAATCTGGAAGTCATATAAAATTCAAGGAACCCAAAATACCTAAAATAATTCTGAAAAAGAAGAACAGAGTGAGAAGACTCACATTTTCCTATTTCAAAACTTAATACAAAGCAACAGTGGTCAAGACGGTACTGGTGTAAGGACAGACATATAGACTAATGGAATAGAATTGAGAGTCCAGAAATTAATCCGAATCTCTATGGTCAACTGATTTTTGACAAGGGTGCCAAGACCATTCAACAAATGGGGCTAGGACAACTGGATAGTCACATGCAAAAGAATGAAGTTGAACCCTTAGCCTCCACTATACACAAAAATTAACTCAAATAGTTCAAAGATCTAAATGTAAAAGCTGAAACTATAAAACTTTTAGAAAAAAACATAGGGGGAAATCGTCATGACCTTATACTTGGCAATGTATTACTAGATATGACACCAAAATAAAGAGTAACAAAAGAAAAATAGGTAAACGGTACATCATCACGAGACCCCGTCTCTACTAAAAATTAGAAAGAAATTAATTGGACAACTAAAAATATACAGAAAAATTAGCCGGGCATGGTGGTGCATGCCTGTAGTCCCAGGTACTTGGGAGGCTGAGGCAGAAGGATCCTTTGAGCCCAGGAGTTTGAGGTTGCTGTGAGCTAGGCTGACGCCACAGCACTCTAGCCCAGGCAAAAGAGTGAGACTCTGTCTCAAAAAAAAAAAACATAAAAAAAACGGTACATCATCAAAATTAAAAACATCTGTGCTTCAAAGGACACCATCAAGAAAGTGAAAAGACAGCCCACAGAAATGAAGAAAGTATTTGCAAATCATATGTGATAAGGGATTTATATCTAGAATATATAAAGAACTCCTACAATTCAATAATAAAAAGACAATGCAGGCCGGGCGCGGTGGCTCACGCCTGTAATCCTAGCACTTTGGGAGGCCGAGGCGGGCGGATTGTTTGAGCTCAGGAGTTCGAAACCAGCCTGAGCAAGAGCGAGACCCCGTCTCTACTAAAAATAGAAAGAAATTAATTGGACAACTAAAAATATATAGAAAAAATTAGCCGGGCATGGTGGCGCATGCCTGTAGTCCCAGCTACTCGGGAGGCTGAGGCAGGAGGATCGCTTGAGCCCAGGAGTTTGAGGTTGCTGTGAGCTAGGATGACGCCACGGCACTCTAGCCTGGGCAACACAGTGAGACCCCTAGGTTTTTCCCTCTACAAAAAAATTTAAAAATTAGCCAGGCATGGTGGCATGGGTAGTCCCAGCTACTCAGGAGGCTGAAACAGGAGGATCGCTTGAGCCAGGGTTTGAGGCTTCAGTGAGCTATGACAGCGCTACTGCACTCCAGCCTGGGCAACAGAGTGAGACCCCGTCTTTAAAAAAAAATTAAAGAAACCAAAAAAACACAAGATACCACTTCACATCCACTAAGATGGTTACGATCCAAAATGAATCAATGAATCAATGAACAATAACAAGTGTTGACGAGGATGTGGAGAAACTAGAACTCTCATACACTACTAGTGGGAACATAAAATGGCACCGCCCCTTTGGTAAACAGTCTGGCAGTTCCTCAAGCAATTAAACACTGAGTTACCAGGAGCCTAGCAAGTCCACTCCTAGGTAGGTATACACCCAAGAGAAATGAAAACATATGTCTATACAAAAACTTGTATGTAAATATTTATAGCAGTGTTATTCATAACAGCCAAATTATGGGAACGACCCACATATCTATCAATGGACAAATGAATAAACAAAATATGGTCTATTCATAGAGTGGATCAGGCCATAAGAAGGAATGAAGTAGTTATACGCTACAACGTGGATGAACCTTGAAAACACTACACTAAATGAAAGAAGCCAGATACAAAAGGCCACATGTCATAAAATTCCATTCATGTGAAAGTCCAGAACAGGGAAATCTATAGAGACAGAAAGTAGATTAGTGGTTGCTCCGGGCTTGGGCAGCAGATAGGGGCTTGTGGAGGTAACAGCGAAAGGATGGGGGCTTTCTTTTTGAGGTGATGAAAATGTTCTACTATTGACTGTGGTGATGTCACAAATCTGTATACTAAAAACCATTGAATTGCACACTTTGAATGGGTGATCTATATGGTGTATAAAATCATATCTCAATAAAGCTGTTTTTTAAAAAAGTGTTTCTGACTGTACAGTGGCTCACGCCTGTAATCCCAGCATTTTGGGAGGCCGAGGTGGGAGGATCACTTGAGGCCAGGAGTTTGAGACCAACCTGGGCAAGATAGTGAGACACCATCTCTACAAAAAATTTAAAACTTAGCCAGGCGTGGTGGTATGTGCCTGTTATCCCAGCTACTCAGGAGGCTGAGGCAGGAAGATCACTTGAGCCCAGGTGTTCAACACTGTAGTGAGCTATGATCACACCACTGCACTCCAGCCTGGGTGACAGAGCGAGACCCTGTCTCTTAAAAAATTTTTTTGTTCCCCAAAATCTGTTATTGCAACTGGAGGCATATACTGTCGGAGAAATAACACTCTTGCCAGAAGGGTCAAGTGCCCAGGTTATCCACAGAAGACTCTGCCCTAAACACAGCTGTGCTAAGGAGAAGCCAACGTGAGTACAGACGGCGGTCCAGAAGCACAGCCTAAATCCTTGTCTTATGGAAAAACATGAGGTCAGAAGTGGAGAAACTGGGGACATCTTGACCTAGGCCCCCCGAGTAAGACAGCTGCCAGGCAGGCACACAGTGGTGGGACCACCAGCCGGCAGTCTGAGCAGCCCCTACAGTTGCTCCCAGCAGCTGCGGCGGGAGCCTCAAGGACAGCCTTGCTCTCACCAACAGTGGCGCTTGCTCCCTCTCCCGTCCCACCACGGTGCCTGACTCACCTCTCGAAGGCCACATTGCGAGTGTCCAGGTGGGTGGAGACGATGGGAGAGGTGAGGCGACTGGCCACGTGTTCCTCGCTGGGCCGCATGGCAGCCAGCAGCGCTTCCGGCTCGTGCAGAGCTAGCGCCAGCGTCTCCGTGTGCACCACCTGCCGGTCGTGGTCCACTTCCATCACCAGGGCTCCGGCCTCTGCCGGCCGGCAGGGGAACACAGGAGAGGGCACAAATCAGAGCCAGGCCCCCCAGCACAGAGAGAGCCATCACGCCACCCTCCGCCACCTGCTGCTCAGTGAGTCCACCTCAGCCCCTGGATTCTCTCCACCCCAACCTCAGGTTCCACATCTGGAAAGCGGAGAGAAAGGATCGCCTCATCCTCGCAAGCCACCGGAGAATCCGAGGACTACAGTGCGCGCCCCCAGAGCTCACCCTGGCCCTTGAAGATGAAGCTCCTCCGGCCACGCTGCCAGGTCATGTGCTCAAAGCCCAGGAGACTGGTGTCCACGCGCAGGCTCTCTCCCCGCTTCCACACACGGTACACATCACTCGGGCACATCTTGGACACAAGGGGCACTGCAGGGCGCACTGAGGTCACTGGGGGTCTTCTCTAAAGGCCCCACACCAAGCCCCTGGGACCCGAGTGGTCCCCACTCACCCCAGCTGGTGAACTCCCACTTCATCTCCACGTAGAAATCGGGGGCCTGAGAGAGACCAGAGCTGCCCATCAGGACCCCGCCTGGTGCTGGGGGCCAACAGGCCTGGGAGCTCCTTGTCCACAGTCACTCTCTGGGAGCCCAGCCCTTCAGCAAGTCTTGATGCACTGCCATGGCCCAGCGACACCCAGCCACCCCTGCCTAGGAGAGGGTGGGCCAAGTGGGGCCCTAAAATGGTCCATCCACAATGAGGCTATAAGCATGTGGAGGCCTAGGGGCCAGTCTCGACCTGGCCATGAGCCCACTGGGGGGCCCTGGGGGAGCTTTTTCCCCTCAGAGTCCTCATCTATGAAGGGGGAACAATGGCCTGATCTGAGCCTGCCCCTGGGGTAAGGGGCATGAAGTCGTATGCTCCACCAGCCCAGCCCTTCTGTGTGCTTCCAGAAGGGTGCGTAGTACCAGGCATTCCAGGGACTCAGGCCATATCCACCAAGCAGACCTGAAGTCCCCTTTCCAGGACATCTGCATTCTCCTGGAGGCCCAAAGCTAAAGCTCTTTGGCAATTTCTGGCACCAGGGCCCCTCAATGCTGGCAAAGACTTCTCTTCCAAAGGGCCCAGTCTCATCCATTTGGACCTGAGCTCCTCTCCTGCAGTGTGGTGGGAAAACACACTGCACAGACTGGCTGCCCCTCCAAGGCCAGACCTGGCACAGGTGACCAAGGCGGTCCCCTGGCATGGTACCCCACCCCCCTTACTGTCCACGTCTCTGTGCCCTGCTGTACCTGGCGGAGTTTGTTGAGCAATTCCGGAATGCCAGCCAGCCTCTGCGTGGCTCTCTGGTAGTCCCGATACTGGAGCACCAGCTGCACCATCTCTGGGTCTCCAGTGCTGACTGCCTCCTGCAGGACTGGGGACACCAGGCTGCTGAGGGGAGCCCTCCTGATGGCCCTCAGCCTGGCTGCTCACTCCCACCCTCCAACCTTGCTACCAGCCTCAGGGGGAGCCCCTCCGCCCTCCGCAGTACCTGCCCAGCCCTGGCGGCTCTCTTTGGCCACGTTGGCATTGTGTCGAAGGAGGACTCTCACGGACTCCAGGTTTCCCAGGGACACGGCCAGCTCCAACGGGGTCCGCCCCCGAGGGTCCTCCTGTTCAATGTCGTGCTGGGGGACATGGGACACTCAGCGAAGGGCAGGAGAGAAGAGGCCCAGGAGGCTATGGGGCTGAACAGGACTGGGAGTCATGTGGGAAATAAGGATGGCAGACAGGCCAGGGAGATGGCAGAGGACGGCCTGCACGTCCTGGCACAGGAGGGGAGGAGTTAGAGGTGGGTCCCTGGTGGCGCGGCCTGGTAAGGCATAGGTGCTGGTGCAGGTGCAGCATGTCAAGAGTTTGGACGGGCCTGGGGACTAGGACCAGGTTTCTTATTCTCAGTTTGGCTCAAGGGTAATGCAGGAGCGAGTTCGGGGGCTTGATGCAGTGTGAGGAGGGCAGACGAGCAGGGTAAGGCCCAACGCTGGGAGGCGAGGCCAGGGCTCAGGCGCGAAGGGCAGGTGACCTGGGCTTCGATTGGGCTGGGGAGGGGCCAGGATGCGCTTGCGGAGCTCAGCTGGGAAGGGCGGCCTGCAGGATGGAGACCACAGCCTTGGGTGTGAGGTTCCGGGGACGGGCCGGGTGCCCCAGCCGGGCCTCACCTGGCGGCTCTGCAGCGCGGCCTCCAGTTCGCGGTGCCGGTTCGCCCAGACGAGCCGGTGCAGCGGGAAGGTGGGGCCCGGGCCGGCCATGCTGAGCCTCAGCGCCGCATCCCGGCCCCGCCTTGGCTTCGGGCCTGGCGCGGGCCCCTCGCCTCCCCTGCGAGCCGCGCCCCGGCAGCGCCCACCGCAGCCCCCGCGGCCCCGGCAGGAGCGGCTCGGCGGC